AAAGATATTTCTGAGCTGTATTTGATATATTTCCCTGAATATCGTTGTTACGGAGTGCATATTACGGTTGTGGGTAACAAATATAACAAATCGGATGAATAATATATATGGAAGTTATAGCTATATCTGAACCGATCTTCACCAAATTTGAGATACTAGCTTCTAGACTCAATTCGGTCGAAAGTGCCAAATTCCATCCCATTTGGACAAATATTAGACTTTTGGTGCACAATCAAATGTAAATCGGACGAAGTTATATATGAGAGCTATATCCAAATCTGAACCGATCTCGATAAAATTTAGCAAATGTATTTCTGAGCTGTAGTTAATATATTTCCCCAAATATTGTTGTTGCAGAGTGCATATTACGGCGGCAGTGGACCAAATTAACAAATCGGATGAACAATATATATAGGAGCTATAGCTATATCTGAATCGATTTCCATCAAATTTGGCATACATATTTTCAGGCCTAATTTGGATGCATATGCAAAATTCCATACAATTCGGGTTGATATTACACGTTTGGTGCATAATAAAAGGCAAATCAAACGAATATATATATGGAAGCTATATCTAAATTTTGACCGATTATCCCCAATTTCAATAAGGTTCGTCCTTGGGCCAAACAAATGATTTGTGTCAAATTTCATCTGGATAGGGCAATAAATGCGATCTGTACTTTGTTTACAAAAATACGTGGACAGACGGACGGACGGACGGACATGCATAAATCGACTCAGAATGTGATTCTATGCAGATCATCAAAAGGAACTATGGGTCTATCTCGTTTCCTTTTTGCCTGTTACAAACAAATGCACAAAGACATAATACCCTGACCAGCTTGTGGTGTAGGGTATAAAAAGAGAGATGTTTTCATAAAATACCAATCTAGATGGCTAATGGCAGAAAAATTGGTCGTGAGCTGAACATATCACCATTGAAATTTCAAAAAGTGCAAGAACTTACACCGCAACAGAAAGAAAATAGACTCAAAAGAAATAAAGGGTTGCTTCGCTTGGCCGAATTTGGTTTTCTCCAGTGAGATCGTGTTTACTTGCTAAAGAGGCCAGCTGAAAATGTGCACCTTCGGGTGGTCACAAGAACTCATGCGCCGGCCATGGTGATGGTGTGGGCCGTAATAACAGCCGATGGTCCTTATCCGCTCGTATTAATCAGAATAAATGACGAATATTATCACGCCCCACCCAAGAATAGTTACAAACGAGGTTCCTCTTTTCATTTCCAGCGCACAATGGCCACCGAAATCTCCGGATACCAATCCGTTGGACTATTGTGTCTGAAGTATTTTGGAAACCAAGGTTAGCACTAAAAAATACCAAAGTGTCGATCAACTCAAGCAAGCGCTTCGCCGGGAATGGGCCAAAATGCAGTGAGTGACGGTTTCATTGGCCGTTTGAAGGACATAAATCGTGCCAAATTTGATGCTGTTTCCGACATTTTTTGCCTTCATTCAAAAAATTGAAAAAGAAATGTAAAAATTATATCGTTTGACTTTGTTGCAGTTTTTTATCTCACCCTATATATGATATGAACCGAGTTCCAATCTTCAAAATACCATATCAGAAAGTACATTCCAATTGCAAAAATAAAATCGATATACCCCATTTCTAATCCCATCAAAAATTTCAGACACAACAAAACAAACAAAAAAAAAACAAGTAAAGGAACATTAAGTTCAGCCGGACGAACTTTTAATACCCTCCACCTTTGGATACCCTCGATTAGATACCCTCGAAATTTTACTCCGATCAAGAATAGATATATATAAAAGTGTAGTGAAATATCTGGCTCTGGAATCAACGCCCATATGAAACAGCTGAAGCTGGAATCTTAAAATTTGGGTAAGTTTTCGTACCAAATGGGTACGAAAAGTATTAAAATGCACTAAATATGTTATGTGAACGGATAGTGGTAAAATCTTGAAATTTAGTATGAGAATCAATACTTGGAAATGACGTTTATGTAAGGATTTTGGAAATATGTACCAGGTTTTGGAAATATGTACTAAATGTAAAATTGGTGCAATTCCGTTTTGGGTGAACGGACGAATCAGGTAATTTGAAATTTTGGTATTAGGCTCCCTGTTGCATGAGAAGTACTAAATAGTAGTATATTTGGTACAATTTATTTTTTATTTATTTATGTAGTATTAGGATCGCTGCTCATGTGTAGCCTGGACATATGGAGTTGGTTTCGGAAATGTGTACTATAACTGTACTACGAGTACTGAATGATACTATATTTGGTATTGGATAAAATTCTGAAATTTGATATTTAGACTATTGATGGTATCTGTGTTCAAGATTTCACGGTGTTTGGGAAATGTGTCCTCTGTACCAAAGTACTAAATGGTATTAAACTTGGTATTAGCTGAAGGAATAAGGCTGGAATCCTCAAATTTCATATTGAGGTCTCTGTTGGTATCTGTAATTGAAATCTGGGGTTGATTTGGAAATGTGTACTAAATGTAAGAAGAGTATTTAATGGTACTAAATTTAGTAAAATTCCGTTTTGGTAAGCGGAAGAAGCTGGTAATTAGATATTTTGGTATTGGAGTCCCAGTGGGTGGTAGGTTTGTTATAAAGAGATTTTGAAAAGAGTTTCTTATACCCTACACCATTTGGAAGAAACTTGGAAATCCTATACGAAGACGTGGATCTGCACATGCAATTTTTTATCGCAGGCTATAGTACCGATTCCGAATTCAAATACGAAATTTGAATAAGTCCGGTAAATAAGGTCACTAAAATACTCAAAATATCGAATATTTGGAGGGACCATTATAAAGTGGGCTATATGAAAATATGGACCGACATGGCCAATTTACGAACCCAACTTGCCTACTGGCAAAACACACGTGTTCCTTTAAATAAAAATTGGAAAAAGTACAATTACATAAGATTGTTAATTCAGAGTCTGTTTTTCCAATTTAATCAACCTGTCCTACTTTGTTATATGATTACGATTATTATAGATTCACATTTTTATTGTTTAATAATCGATTTCTACCTCAAAATATTTGTTGGTCTGTAACAAATTCAGTACCAACATTCTTGGTACAATAATAGCAAAGTAGGGCAGTCTGGCTGATGCGCACGACAACTCTCGAAGCGAGTATCCGATATGGTCCACACTTGGTACATCGTAATATTATTATCAAACTTAGAACGAGTTCGTATATGGGCGATTTCGGTCCACTTCTTCTGGTACCTCCCCCACAAAAGGTCGAAATTTTCTAAAAAATATTTTACTGCACAAAAAGAGAAAGGATAATCCGATTTGCTCCAACTTTGGATATCTTATGCAAGTCACACACCTTACAACTGGTTGTACAACTGAGAGAGGTTGTATTCAAGATTATATCGTTTGTGGCCCGGTTGTACAAGGTTGTGTCTCGGTTCTATGAAAAATCAAAATTTTTTGATATTTGGCATGTTGTACCAACCGATTGTAACGTTTGTGGGCATGTCGAATACAATTTCATTTTGCTTTTATTTTTGAAGAGGCAAAACCATTGTTTCGCACATCAAAACAATACAAAATCCAATCAAATGTGTGATTTGAATGTATATACAAAAAAGAAAATTGAATTTATAAAATAAATTTTCAAAATTAATTATAAATGAAAGCTATTGATTCAATTACAGAGCATGAATTTTTTTCCGGTGCCATCTTAACTCAAATAAGCTCTACGAAAAGTGAAGTTGTACAAAGAAGTTGCACACTAAGTTGTATCGTTTGTGAAAGAAACACACAATTTGAGTATTCTCCAAGTTGTACAACCAGTTGTATCGTGTGTGGCTTGCATTAATATTTGCATAAGTGTTATGTCAGGTGCAAAAATTGACAATCAATGGACATCAAGTACCTCCCCCATAAAGGGTTACAATTTTTAGTATCCACGGAGCTCATAAAACGTAAAATTAACATCCGATTCCATACAGACTTGGTTCATCTCAATATTTCCGTCTATATATATTATTTTTATGATTTTAGTTCGTATTTGAATATTGTAGTGACAAAAGTTGCCACTTCTTCGTATAGATCCCAATATAACGGCTATATTTTATTTTTTTGAAGATTTTTACAGAATTTTAGCAAATGTTATCTTTTTGAAAATTTCCAAATTCGCACCAAATGTTGGAGGGTATTCAAAGTTCGGCCTGGGCGAACTTACTGCTTTTTTATTTGTAAAATAATCAAACATTGGGTGAGGTTATAGATCTGACGGCAAAACCGACTGATAATTTTCAACTTGTTTTTTTACATTTTTCTCACAATATTTTAATTAAAGATAAAGTCGCAAAAAAATTTATGAAACAACGAGGATTTTTCGCATTCTTTTTCATCCGAAAAAAACAAAAGTGAAGTCTTCCCAAAAACTGTAAATATGAATTTAAATTTCAACAGAATTTAAAAAATTTCAAAGTTATTTGCCCTACCATATCATCATTGTACCATACCAATATGGATGGTATGGTAAACGGCAGAATTCAAGGATACATTTTTAGTCACATGGACAATGATTACACGGATTCAGATCGGACTGACATACAGACCACTATATGTTTAGACTAAATCAAGAAAAAAGTCGACCGGTACAAATAAAGTGTTCCCGCGTATTGTGTAAGAATGCTTTGGAAAATTCAAGTGAATCCAGAAATCCAACTATCCTCCGAAACATATATATCCCCAACTTATTGTCGTAGTTATTGCTGTGATTTTTCTAACACTGACACCAACAACCAACCACAACATGAAAAATGTTCCACCCCAATACACAGACGCACTAACACACGTTTCACATGTGATATGTAAACATTTAACAGCTGTAATAATCATTGATTTTTCCCGACGCAGAACAAACAAACGCCCCAACTCTGACCTCACCCCCATCCACTCAGATGCAACATTAATTTTTTATGATTTCTTCCGCTGTTCGATTGGCAATAAAATGTCAGCAATGCCATACTTACCGCTCCTAGATTATCAAAACCATATTTCTGGGCAACGGCATGGGCATAATCGTTGTCAACACTGCGACGGAAACGAACCAAAAATGAACTCGTAAAGACGTCATTTCCTCCAGCTACAGGACGTCGACCACTGCTAGTGGCGCTCTTGGCCAGATTCGAGATGTCAGAATTCCTGGCCGTTGCCTTTAAATCATCCGAGCTCACCAAAGTCAGGCCGGAGAGGGTGCATAGGAGAAGCAATCCCGTTATTGGGTAAACGCATGCTGTCAAAATCATTGCACGCGTTTTTATGACGCAGACAATTTCGAGTCTTTGCTTTCGTTCTTCTTGTAGTTGTTTTTGTTGGTGGGGTTTTGTTGAAAAGCGTTTTACACGAGATTCAATTTCAGCGATTTGGCACTAAAAATGTTAGCAGGCACTGTTGCACAGCGGAATTTTACTTGTGGACTTCTTCCGAAATGATTTTCTTTTATTTTGTTCGACAATAAAAATTTTTATTCCATTTAAATTAAATTTTCAGTTCTCCTTTCTCCTGTCTTTGCTTTTTTTGTCTTCTATTTCGTGTATTTTTATTCTGCTTTGTTTTTGTTGTTGTTTTCCGTTTTGCACATTTCCGAATGGGAGAATTGAGGAATGACAGTAGACTTGTTGTAGGTGGTTTTTTGACACTTGCCAAAAAATGAATGGAAAACGAAAATGTGACCGTTGTCGTCGTTGCGCTCTTAACTGGTTTTTGTTCCACACACTAGTACCGTTACTAATTTACTCTTTCAACTACACATACACGCACACACAAGGGAAAACACACTCTCTATTTGACACTTTCACGTAGTCGTAACAAATTCACAATTTTCGAAACACTGGTCGCAATGAAATTTCGTAAAATTCGGTTCGTGTTGGATTCTTTGAAGAAATTTCAATTTTTTTGTGAATAAAATTTGCTGGAGTTTTCTTTTGTGTTCACTTTGTTTCTGTTTTCTTGGTTTTTTTTCGCTCGTTCGTTCGTTTAGTTCGTACTTCTCTCTGACGTCCTTCTCCCCTCTACCGTTATATGGGACTATTGGAGATTTTGTTCTGTTCTGTCTTGTTTCAATTTAAAACTTGTGGCAGTTGTTTTCGCCCTTTTGGGTTAGTCCGCCGTTTAGAACTTAACTGTTATGCTTACCGAACAAAACTGCGGCTAATGGCTTCTTCGTTTGCCTATCATTGCATGAATTTATCAATGCTTTCGTGTGTGCGTGTCTGCGGTTTTGCAGACAAAGTTCCTGCAGAGCTTTTTAAGGCTGCACAGAAAAGCTCTATGTCGTGTTGTTGGTTTATTCTAGTTTATATATGTGTTTGGTTATTCCACTTGTTAATCCTCTTTTAAGGATTACCATTGTGCGGAAGTTTATCATTTCAATGGGGATCAATTAGTATTTAGTATAAATTGTGGGAAACCATCTAAAACGGGCCTATGTCAAGACACGACATGTAAGGTCATTACAAATTAGATTACCAACTCATTATTTTAACAAAAAATTGTACGTAGTAATTCATTGGCTACAAATAGTTATTATTATACCCGCCAGCATGCATAGGCTTATAAGTTCGTCACTCCGTTTGTAACTCTTCGAAATAATAATTTTGGACATAAGACAATACAACAAAATATATAAAATTTTAAGACGATTTAGACCTGTCCGTCCGTCCATCTGATGTAATCACACTAAAGTCAAAACGAATATAGATAGGAAGTTAAAATGTTGCACAGATCAGTCTTTTGTCTGCAGGCAGCCCAACATCAAAGATGGGCTATATCGGTCCACAATATCGTATAGCCCCCATATAATGGTGGTGGTTTTTTCAAGTTTCGTATTTGAATATTGTAATGGATTATGACAAAAGTTGCCTGTGCAGGTCCACGCCTTCGTATAGACCCCAATATCACGGCTATATTAAGCACTAGCTGGCCCGGTCCGCGTTGCCGGCCCGTAGTTTTTGTCTATTATGCATATTTGTCAAAGCATAATTATTCAAAGATATGAATGTTATAAATGTTCACGTACTGGTCTATTAGTTTTTAATTTTTATTCAAATGAGCAGTAATTTGGAATTTACTGTACTTTGTACACCTCATAATTGATGGCTAATTGATTTAAGAATATCCAAACTTAATTACTTTTTTAAACCCATTAGCACCTCAGATTGTGCATTAGAGTCCTCATAAGTCCCCCTAACCATGTCGGTCTGTTTGTCCGCCAAAAGGTGGACTTGAGGGGGTACTATTACATGGAGAAAATACTAAAATTTGTAGATATGTTGAAATTTTTATGTAAGATTTTCACCCCCAAATATACATTTTTAGCCAAATCCTTTGAAATATGGTAAAATGCGAAACATCGACCTACATTGAAAACTTTCTTCACCCCTTATAATCCAAGATGACAAATAGAGGCCAAATCAAAAATATAGCAGAAAAATATAGCATGTCAAACTGAAAAAAATCACGTTATTTAAATAAGTAAAAATAGTTTTATCCAACTCATAATTGAGGGCAGACTGATTTCAGAATAGTCAAATATAATTACTATTTGACACCCATTACCGTAAGATGGGAACTAATTTTATTTGTCATTAAAATTGTAAATTGGAGACACCATAAAGTCCATATTTTTCATCATAGTATAAATCAATGACGATTCAACAAATATTCAGTCCCGTGCTACTTTCTTATGTTTGTAATTTGTTCATGTTTTCACAATTTATTTCATATAGATGTATATCCCAAATCTACGTTCCCAACCAATATTCTCTTGGGGGGTTACAATTCAATAGAATGTGAAAGTGGACTTGGGGATACTCCAATGTGGGGACTTTACATGCATGTGGCAATTATCTGTACGATGGTTCCTTACCCCAGGGTAGCATAAATACAATTTTTTAGTGGTCAAGACCAATATGTGCCCTACTCCGAAAATTTTAGGAAAAAAAATTTAGAAACAAAGATGCCAAATAAGGGCCAAAAATAGAAGAAAGTGGCGAAGACTCCAAAAATGGCTTAAATCATACGATGGTTATTTATGATCGATATCATGACCTGCAAAAACGATTTAAGGTATCTTAAATGTTCAGGAAGAATTTTTGGAAGGATAGAAATCCTTTTCTTACTAAAAGTCCCATTCGCTCTACTATTTTGCATCCTTTATATTTGGTATTTTACTGATTATACTCCCAATAATTTTTGCATTTTGAGCTCTCATTGGACGGATTATTGTCACATGAAAGAAGTAGGGCCACACTTTGAAATAAGCCCCATTAGTATTTTTCGGTCATTTTTGTTTGTTTAAATGTCTGCGCATCTTCCAGCTGAAGCACGATGTAGGCCTTGGAGTTGAAAGGTAGATGTCAGTTACCATCGTATTTCGCACTTATTTCATTTTTTTTGGTGAAAAATTGTATATAGAGAAAAATATTCTTTATTTTGTTCGCAAAAAATCCACTGAATTCAATATGATATTACAAATTGAAAAAATCTTCAACTTGTTCGCTGATTTTTTACAGCAACTGTTTAAAGATCCTTACAAAGTTTGTCAATAGAATGTACTTTTATTTTAAAATTCAATTTCATTGGAAATTTTTTTCGATATTTTCCCGTTTTGAGAATTGTTGCAATGAGATCTCTTTTTTCGTGATTTTTTTTAACGATTTTGAAAAAGTAATTATCTTTTAACTTTGGTGTGACCGCATTAATCATCTATTCCGTTTCGCCACCACATAATTCGGTACTACACTTCCATGTAACCCGCCATCAATTTCAGTTCTCAAGAAATCAAGTCAATTAAATAAATTGGTATTAATATTCGAATACAAAAATGAAATATAAAAAACACTACAAATATACATTAGAAAAAGTAAGTCAAAATGGAAAAAATCATGCCAAATAAAACATTACTATTGTACATTTCAAAATCAAAATGAAAATGTTAACATATTACATTTTTACGCGATTTTTTTGGATATTATCCTTTTCGGATAAGAGACAATTCCGAATTTGTATGAATCATTAAAATCAGTTCAGCGTTTCTTAAGTTATAAGCGTAGTAACTAACACAACTTTCATTTATATATATAGATTTTTAAGATTTTTACAGAATTTTTAGCGGATTTTATTTTTTGAAAATTTTCAAATTCGTTCCAAATAGTGGAGGGCAATTCGGCCGAATTTACTGTTTTATTACTTGTTTTTGTCGAAAATACGGACATATCTATATATATAAATGAAAGTTGTGTTAGTTACTACGCTTATAACTTAAGAGCCGCTGAACTGATTTTAATGATTCATACAAATTCGGAATTGTCTCTTTTCCGAAAAGGATAATATCCAAAAAAAATCGCGTAAAAATGTGATATGTTAACATTTTCATTTTGACTTTTGAAATGTACAATAGTAATGTTTTATTTTGCATGATTTTTTCCATTTTGACTTACTTTTTTCTAATATACATTTGTAGTGTTTTTTATATTTTATTTTTGAATTCGAATATTAATACCAATTTATTTAATTGACTTGATTTCTTGAGAACTGAAATTGATGGCGGGTTACATGGAAGTGTAGTACCGAATTATGTATTGGCGAAACGGAATAGATGATACCGAAATAATTTAATGCGGTCACACCAAAGTTAAAAGATAATTACTTTTTCAAAATCGTTAAAAAATCACGAAAAAAAAGATCTGATTGCAACAATTCTCAAAACGGGAAAATATCGAAATAAAATTCCAATGCAATTGAATTTTAAAATAAAAGTACATTCTATTAACAAACTTTTTTAAGGATCTTTAAACAGTTGCTGTAAAAAATTAGGGAACAAGTTGAAGATATTTTCAATTTGTTATTCTTCTTTTGTCAATTTTTTTCAATTTGTAATATCGTATTGAATTCAGTAGATTTTTTGTGAACAAACTAAAGAATAATTTTTCACTATATACAATTTTTCACTAAAAAAATGAAATAAGTGCGAAATACGATGGTAACTGACATCTACCTTTCAACTCCAGGGCCTACATCGTGATTCAGCTGGAAGATGCGCAGACATTTAATCAAACAAAAATGACCGAAAAAGACTAATGGGGCTTATTTCAAAGTGTGACCCTACTTCTTTCATGTGACAATAATCCGTCCAATGAGAGCTCAAAATTCAAAAATTTTTGGGAGTACAATCAGTAAAATACCAAATATAAAGGGTGCAAAATAGTAGAGCGAATGGGACTTTTAGTAAGAAAAGGATTTCTATCCTTCCAAAAATTCTTCCTGAACATTTAAGATACATAGAAATTTATTCATGTAAAGTCCCTACATTGGAGTATCCCCAAGTCCACTTTCACATCTAATATGTGGTCAGAAAAGAAAAATTTATATTCTATTAAATTTGTAACCCCCAAGAGAATATTGGTTGGGAACGTAGATTTGGGATATACATCTATATGAAATAAATTGTGAAAACATGAACAAATTACAAATATAAGAAAGTAGCACGGGACCGAATATTTGTTGAATCGTCATTGAATTATACTATGATGAAAAATATGGACTATATGGGGTCTCCAATTTACAATTTAAATGACAAAAAAAATTAGTTCCCATATTACGGTAATGGGTGTGAAATAGTAATTATATTTGACTATTCTGAAATCAGTCTGACCTCAATTATGAGGTGGATAAAACTATTTTTACTTATTTAAATCACGTGATTTTTTTCAGTTTGACATGCTATGTTGTTCTGCTATATTTTCGATTTGGCCTCTATTTGTCATCGATGTTTCGCATTTTACCTTATTTCAAAGGATTCGGCTAAAAATGTGTATTTGGGGGTGAAAATCTTACACAAAAATTTCAACATATCTACAAATTTTAGAATTTTCTCCATGTAATAGTACCGCCTCAAGTCCACCTTTTGGCGGACAAACAGACCGACATGGTTAGGGGGACTTATGAGGACTCTAATGCACAATCTGAGGTGCTAATGGGTTTAAAAAAGTTATTAACTTTGGCTATTCTTAAATCTATTAGCCCTCAATTATGAGGTGCACAAAGTACAGTAAATTCCAAATTACTGCTCATTTGACTTAAAATTAAAAACTAATCGACCAGTACGTGAACATTTATAACATTCATATCTTTGAATAACTATGCTTTGACAAATATG